AAAGAAAAACGGGCTGACACGGTCTTGTCGGCTAACAAAAGGAAGTCTGTGCTCTTTTCGCTGGACGTGCAGAGGAGTAAGGATGAAAGTACACCACAAGGAAGTGATATGTATGGTTAACCGAGTAAACTACGCCAGAAACTCCCAATCTTCCTCCAGCTTGATGCACAAGAAGATGTTACACGTAATACTGCTGTTGCAAGATGACATACATTGCTATTTTGAGTTCAAGCTGACTTAGAACTTTCTCTTCTACTCTTGTCCCGTCTCTCGTGAGACTGGATTAGCGCCAAAGGTTTTCTCAATATTTTTTTCCTTTTATTATTTTTTTTCGAGAAATAGGGTAAACTTTCAAGTACTCGCCCACCTTCAGTACAATATTCTTGCGGGTGACGGAGGTCAGTTTTCCGCATCGTTAAACACGGACATCAATTTGATAGTTACTTTTAGTAACAATGTTTTCTCTGTTGTGGTAGAATGGATTACACGGAGTTACACCACACCTGACAGCTGTCTATCGCCAAAGTTTTCATCTCTAGATAACTATAACTCAGTATCGTTTCTTTGCACAATATCCTTCAATAATAAGTATAATACAAAGTAAAGCGTCAAAGTTTAAGTGCTTGGCTTAAACACGTGTTTTGTAATGTGTTTACTGCAGTAAATCAAATTTAGAGAACATTAGCGCTTCATGCACGTCGACAACGGGAGAAAATATGAGTTTTACAACAATATAAACACAGATCACGGAACCCCTTTCAACGAGTTCAGCCTTTCGTAAGACCTTATTATTCATCATGCACGCGCGCGCGCTCACACACACACAGCTCAAAATTAGTGTTCTTATGGAATGTGCGAGGGAGCTGGAGATTCTTAAATTGATAATCACAAATGCAGAAATGATCCTTCGCATCTGGACAAAAAATAATAAAAAAAATCAAATAATAAACCTTTTTTTATATTTTCTATACAGCCACGATACTGTCTACCGCTAGAAAAAAAGGCCAGCTTTTTTAAATGCCACAGAAAAAAAATTGCAGTATAAAGGGCAAAACAAAAAAATCTAATAGGCCAAACAGATTAATTACTTAAAAAATTTCTTTAACAGTTAAAAACAAAACAAAAAACGTTATCTTTTGGGTTACTTTATCTGCATACGAAAGGGGTGGAAACTACTGGTGTCACTTTTAGGCGCTTGTGAAAAATTTGAAAAATAATCAGCACTGCTATACTTTTCTGATGCTTTTAGATAACGAGATCAAAACAACGAGGATTTCAATTCACTTGACCCACGGAAGTAAGTTTTTCGAAAGGTTGTTGTTGTTTTCTTAGCTCAAAGCAACATAATGGCTATCTGCATTTTGTCCACCGTGCAGAATCGAACTTGTAATTTTAGCGTTATAAGTGCGTAAACTTATCGCTGAGGCATTGGGGACCTTTTGAACGGAATAAATGTACAAAGATAATTCAAGCGCCGTCAGAATTTTAAAGAAATATAAACATATGATAAAATATCTGCAGTCAATCATAACCTCGTGATTACTTTCCAAAGTTGGGTCGCTGAATGGAACGCGCACGAAACACTTCAATATAAAACAGTGTTGTGTTTTTTGGGGGACAAGTACAGTGTACATATTTAGAGAGTTATATACGATGTTCTATATTTGGGAGTTTGACACAAAGTTTTGCATTTTCGGGGCGTAATCAAAAGGCTTGGGGACAAAGAAAGCTGACCTCAAATGGGTTTCGCAATTAATTTGGGGCCCCACGCTAAGGCGTAATTTGCGTATTAGTGTTGATTCGGCCTGACTAAAAATGTATCACAAAAACTTCAATTTCAGTCCCTCCGCCTGGTGTTATCTCACAGCACTTCTAAACTAGAAACCATGAAGTTTGTTTGTTTCAGAATTTCTTACAAAGTTACAAAAGGGCTATCTACATATAACCGTCCCTAATTTTGGACTAATAGAAAAAAGCAGTGGTTCCAAGCCTGTGGTATGCGTAACCTTGGAAGTTAGTCAACAACATCTGCAACCAAACCATGATGTTTATTGGTCAAAATTGTCTTAATCTCGACTGAAATGAACTAATAACAATTAAAAACATTCGACCAATCCTAAGGTTGGATGCAAAACTCGATATCATTTTAGTACCTAACAAACCATGTATACAAGAATTATTTCACTCGAGTTTAGCACCGATTTTGCTTTACGGCTGAAAAACTATCCTTACTGAAAACTACCAGCTGGAAATTTTAAACCAGAAGTCTTTGAGAGTCTACCAACAGTAAACTACACAATACGTGAACAAATGGATATAATATGCGCTGGCATGGCCTATCTATATAATTCTTGAAATGATGGAAAATGTGTCGAATAGTGTTTAATTAACTCTTTTTACTTTCTTTCAGCCAGTAAACGCATCCAATCCACACAATAAAATTTCTCTATTATTCTCTTTATATAAACACATATATTTGTGTGTGTTTAAAGATATGACTGACAGACAGTCGGATATAGATATTATTAGTGTGTGTAATCAACAGTTGAATACTGCAGTTTCAAATATATCAAAGCCTGTATTGTGGCGTGTTTTACACACAAGGCTGCCTTGTGAGTTAAGGATGTTAATGATAACCTTATGTAGGGATTCAATACCTTAACTAGGTGAATGTAAAATGGATTAACAAACGATATTTTGGGCATTGTGTCCTCTGTAAAATGTGCTACCACTACGTTGGTATCTGCAGCAAAATACCCTAATACAGCATATACTAGTTTATGTGTCTAATTTTTCAAGAGATAGAAGCCAAAAAGATGAAAATCCCAGACTACAACATAGTTCGTGCTTTCCCAAGAGATGGGATAAAAAATATTGTGACTTAGGGTTCCTAATATATAGGTTTTTAGAACTTCTTGAGTAGTGTACATATTTCTAAACAAGTTACTAACAAAGCTGATGGGTTTCAATAGGAGGTGGGACCAAATCATTCTGACTCAGCATCAGTCTTACGATGTTTCAAGAAACATGTTTCTACTGCTACTGACATCAATAAAGTACGTGCCACTGGTTGCTAAGTAACAAAAACTAAGTATAAATGCAACGTTTTTTTTGTTCTGTTAGAAGGTAAAACCGTTTATGTGGAACATATAAGGTTGCTAGGAGAAAAAACCCGACATGATTAAACAACTTCCCATATTATCTTTCGCTGCCTTTCTATTAATCAAAACTTAGTGATAAAAGGGGCAACATATACCAGTGAAAAACGTTACAGAATTCGCATGGACTACTTATACCTACATAATTAGTTGCTCTCAAGTTATCCTTACGAATGACCTTATCTCTCTTAATCTTATCACCTCTCACTCAATAAAAACACATACTGCAAGATTTTTTTTTTTTTATCTAATAGCTATTTAGAGGCTTACAGTCCCTGGCACGTTTTACTGGGTAATGAGTCATCAGTGTAATCGATTTAGAGCTTTAAGTTCTTAGGTGATGAACGATATTGCATTTCTGATGCTTTCAGCAGACTAAGACTAAACAAAACGTTTCACACCATAATGACACGTTTGTTCGTTTTTACATTCCATAACACTTGGAGTGTGTATCTAATTCTTTAAAAAATTATTTCAGTATAAACTTAACGTAATGCATAATCCATTACAAATATACGCTGTTTCTGCAATGTTATGCATTACCAAGTCATCTTCACCGGTCTAATACGATGTATCTAATACACTGCCCAGTATATCTCGACCCATTACAAAGTGTCTTATTTTTTTTAGAAAAAGTAATGCATCGTCCATCATTTTGAAATTCAAAACGAGAGTTTTATTACACATGTCCTAATCATATTTAATAGACGTACTGGGTTAAATTAATTTTATAATTTGTGTAACGGCGGAAACAGTAGAAAAAATCGTTTAGACAAAACAAAAAATAGACGAAAAGTAAAGAATTTGATATGAAGACAATTCGCATGTGTCAAATATTCAGTGGAATTCTAAATTCTGATAATTTGGTTTTAATTTTGCAATTTAAGTAAAAATACGTAATACAATTTATCGCTGGAGAATCCTCGTTATTTTACTCTCTAAATCTCATTCTTCTTAGATAGGCATTAAATTAAGAAATTTTCTAAACCGTGCTAGCTTTTGTAATCATTCAATCTTACATCAAAGCGTATTTTATTTTAGTAAACCAATTGTAGTAGGTAGCCTACGCCATCTATTGGTCAGAGTTAATACAATGAAGGACACACAATAAATAACAACTATATTAAAATTCATTTCTTCTAATACTCAAATAACGAAGCGAATAATTTTAAACATGGAAATTCTTAAACTTTTTCTTTAAACTAACTAAATATGTGAACGTTTCTGTATGCCCATTTAAAATGTAAAATTTGGTATGTCATGAATAGCACTAATAAAAGTTTTTCTTAACAATGTGTACTTTTACTTGGTTTTTCTCTAAATCTCACAGTTATTTATCACTTATAACTGACAAATACTTTTTTTGGTAAATACACGAAAAATAACAAGATAACTAAAACTTCAAACTTTTCTAACTTGCAAAAAAAAATGTATAGTTTTAGCAAAGATAACAAATCCAACATTTAACATACCCAAAAACTTACTAATACCTTTAACAACAATAAACAACTCTTGTCTAGCCTAATTCCTCTAGACTAAAAAAAAAAAAATCTTGACTCAAGAAAATCGCACAACTTTAGTGTGCTATGTTAGTTTAATGTATTCAACATGATGAAAATAATATCTGAGCTACAGCAGAGTTAAACAAATACATATAAGGGTCTTATTACAAATAATTTGAAACCACAGTTATTTTTAAAGAGTAAATCTCAATGGCTTCACAAGACTAATTGAAAAGATGCTTGTGCAAGTTATTAGAATTTTGTTTGTTTTAATATTTTGACTTTTAAATTACCTTAAAAAACTGGGGGAAAGAAAAGAAAAGAACCGAGGAACACTCACCACATGTATCTGATGCTACATGTGGATGTTCTTCAACTAAAGATGCTCTGTTCAAGTTGGACTTCCTTTTGTAACTTTTGTCTTTGACTTTTTCCTTTGCTAAGCCTGCTTCAGAACATTCTTCACTTTCTGTGTTTTTGGCATGACTTTCTTCTGTAGTTATCTATGAAAAACAAAAATACATGATGTTCCCACAAGCTGTGTTTGAAATGTTTCAGCAAAAAATTAAAAATGTACTTCTAATGTATACCATGTGGTGGTGAAGAAGAATTTAACCACATTTGAATAATGTTCATTTACCAAACTATTTAATAGCAAGATCAATCTCATTTAATGTAATATCAGTCAAATTATTTAATTTATGACACATTGTAAGTGGACAAAATATTTTAGACTCCAACCATTAGTTTGAAATACATAGCAGAACATTTTCTTAATTAAAAAAAAAAAAGGATTAGGTTGGACAACAAATCACAGAAAACATTTATCTTCCTTTAGTAAATTCGAATTTTAACTCTGCTGGACTAGGAGTAAGAGGAGAAAATGCTCTTCATAACAAAAAGCTCATCCTAGTTAGAATAATGTTTGCATGTTTTAAGGCAAACCAAGAAGCTATGAATATCACAGTTTATCAATTAATACATATCTGGCTATTTAGAAAAACAGTAAAAAAATCTTACTTGTTCATGGTCCTTTTCTCTAACATTCTCAGTATAATCCTTAGCAACTGGTGATGTGTCACTTCTGAAATTACTGGGAGAAGCACAAGTTTCAAATTCAGAAGATGAGAGAGGAGCTGCAGGTGCTTTACTTCGAAAACTTTCCTTCTTCTGAAGTCCATCTAAAAACCCAACATAAAAATAATGGATAACACAAAACAGACAGATTCAAACCAAACCCTAACTTATAAACTATCTATAACATACTTTTCATTACTTCAAACAAAGCTAATACAAACCAAACTATTAACTAGTAAATAGTCAGCTGATATTTTTTGTTGTCAAGAGATAAAATACCTTGTATTAGCAAACAAACAAACAAAAATAGATCATAATGTCAACTATTTTACAGACTAATTTCAGGTCAGTATTTATATATGACTTAACAGTAGTCAAAATAATCTAAGATGGAATATTTGAAAAAAAAGTCTATTTCAACTCGTATATTAAGATAATTCTTCTGAGAGAGATCACAAGTTGATGTCTAAGTTCTCTAAGAATAGTTTTACTTAAGTTTTCCCATGAAGTGTTCTTAAAAATGTGAAAAAGTGCATTAAAACAATGGAAAAAAAAAGTACCCAGATGTGAATTAGGTCCTACACAGTGATCTTGGATGCTAGAAAATATAATGAAAGTCAATAGCTTGTTTATTTGATATTACCTTTTCACTGCTCAGATTTGGACCTTATTATTACCAGCCATAATATAGGCAAAGACAAAAATCACGTTAGGTGCCTGTAACTCTTTCAATACAGAGTCAGTCAATGTGACTACATCATAACTATTTTGTGCTTGTTATAGTTTTCATGCTATAACTTTTAAATTAATAAGCAAATGTTAATGAACTTTGGCAGATTATCAATAAACATTACAATGCTTTCATAAGCAAGATATCTAATTTTTTTATTAAGTCGTAAGGTTTTTAAAGCAATGTTTCACTTATGCCTTTTTTTTCTTTTCACATCTTGCCTATCTATCATGCAAAGTAATTTTAATTTTAAGACTAAAAATACTTTTATGCATTAGAAAATTTTTAAATTTCAATTGCAAAATCTTAATAATGTCTGGATAGTTATTGTGAAAAAACTTTATATTTTATCTGTCATTTTCAGTAATTAATCTCTGTACGGGTTCGGTGGATTTGAACGATCTCGCAACCACCATAAAAATTAGGAAATAAACAAATATTATGCCACTTTCATTCTAGAATGAACACAAATTATAACATAAAACATAAATGTTTAGATAAAATAGCTTAAATCTCATAACATTATACATATTTATAATTTTTATTATATTGACCTTTCACCCATGCCTGGCTAACAGTACAGAAGTTACAATGACGTGGCTCACATGCACTCATGGTACTGTATCAAAATAACATAAAACTGACCTTTGGTCTGTACAAAGTAACTTGTCTTGGCTGTGTTTTAGTCAACTAGTATTTTGTAAAATACAGTCACATTTCAATCATTATACATTATATACGAATACAGATTATTGCTGTTTAGAAATAAGTTCTTAAACTTATTTTTCTTAAGACATAGAACAGTAAATAAAGGAGTAAAGCAAACAGTTATCTCTTCTAGTTATGACCTTCATACTCGGTTGCTGCTTGAGGTAGGTTGCTAAGCCTTTAAAAATTTTGCACGTGGCGGATATGAAACAAAATATTTGTTTTTTAGGTTTTATATATATATACATTTGAATAACTAAAAAATCATAAGTTACAACACCAATACCATAGAATTCAACTATAATTTTTCAAGCTCAGTATAGAAACTATAGACTTAATATTTTGACTTCACAACCATCTAATTTGAACCAGTGCTGCATTCAACATACCACGTGACACACAAAAATCGATGTTTATCTGTTTTTTTTTTAATATTTACTTTCAAATTAAGAAATTGAGTAATGTATAGTTCTAAAATTTGAATTATAATCTACACTTTGATACCAAACTTATTGACATAAATTCATGAAATAGTAGTTCGATAAAATTTTGAATGCGAATCAACAAACGAGATTTTATGGCCTTTCATTTATGACCCATCTTGAAAGGGGTTAATATCAAAAATGAGCCATGCAAAGCTGGATTCCATATTGACCATACAAAATTTCTGAATCTTAATGCCCTCCATTTTGTTTGCAGGACATGGGTGTTCGTGAGTTGTACATTGCCATGATGTTGTCAACAGGAAGTCTCAGGAGGTGGATTAGATGTGCCCTTTTTTTCTTTATTATTGATCAGAAAGTTTTAAAGTACTTCTCTTCAGAGTTTGAACTGCCAAACATTTCACATTTATTTTCTGTGTTTATTTTACTGTCAAAGACTGATGTAGAAATCTGCTGAAAATAAAGCAACAAATCACTGTTTGTGTCGTCGAGATACGATACTCTTGAGAGCAACAAAGCACGCATACAGAAATAAGCCGACTTGACCCCTGCTCCAATGACACGATGTGGAATTTATCACTTATGTATCCTACAGTGTTTACAATGAGAATTCCCAAGAGTAATAAGATTGCATGCTGAATCTGTGAAAATGATTATACAGTACATGGTTTGGAGCCAATCCAGTAAACATCACAATTGTTTGAATATTGGTCATTCTTCTGGTGGGATGTTTGGAATTTAACAGTATACCATACAGGCATACAAAGATAACTGCCCACTTTATTGAGTGCCCGTACAGAGAACAAGACTAAAGACACTGCCCTTAATCTGGTATATCAAGGTGCACATTATTGCAAGATTTGTTTTGGTTACAAATAGTAGAAAAAAGAAAGAGACTGAAAAGGTTTGCCCTTAACAACATGGTGCCCATTAATCGAGGTTCTACTGTACAACATTATTTGCATTAGCAGCCATAAACTAATAACTCAATGGTACAAGTCAACTTTGAATAAACTTAATCTAAAGAGGAAGATTTCTAAAACTGAAGAAAATTTTAAGTATCCAAATCTGCAGTGCCAATTTTTCTTTAAGTTTACATTTGTTGTTAAAAAAATCATTATGCTTTGCAATTGAGCCTAAGGTAACACATCTAAAAATTAGTAACAAATGCAATTTTGTTAATAAGCTGAAAAGTTACTTCTGAAGTTCACCAAACAAAAAAAGAACTTTCTATTCTGGTTTAATCAGATATTACTAGTTGAAAAATAATGAACACCATAAATATTATTTTTTTTTTAAAACCCTTATAGTCAACTGTTAGACTAAAATCATTAGACTAAGTGAAACATTTCTTTGCATTTTATAATTTTTTTTCAAGGAAATATGTAAAAAGTATGGAACATGTTTTTAAGCACAGGGAATGAACCTTGGATTCAGAGTCTGAGCATGCTACCAACAGACCACACCTGACGCTACAAAACAAAGAAAAAATAAGAACATTTCAGGACAAAGAGTGGAACAATAATCATTACTCTGTATGTCACTTTCCTCTAAATCACATAATCTCACCAAGGTAATGATAACATTGTTTTATCACGTTTCGTCCAACAAATTTGAACTTATTTTTCACATTGTAGGCTCTCTGTTAACAACTATTAAAATCAATCCAATGTTGATATTAATCATTACATGCAAATACTCTTCAATCTTTTCATCCAAAATCTCAAATTTGAATTAGCTCCATTTGCTAGTTTCTGAAAGAAATTAAATTATACACAGAGAAGACATAACAATAACTGTTAGGCAGGATTAATGAAAAGTATATATTATAATTTAAACTTACCAATCTTTCCTCCTGAGCTTTCAAATAATGAAGAATTTGCTTCTGCTCTTAATCTAAAAAAAAATTAACACAATCCAAAAAATTATTATAAAAGATGAAAACAGTATTCAAACATTTCTTACGAGAATTGGAGATTTATTAAATGTTTTTTACCCCGAATATCCTTTACTAATTCAGGTTCTTTGTGTTAGTAATATACTTCTTTTACTGAATTATGAAATTAAAATATGCATTTTCCTTTTTTTTTAATTTAATAAAAACATTATTTTATCTACTGAATTGTTTCATTATAAAATGTATACTAGGAACAAAATGCACAAAATGACATGAGGTCACTGAATTCTAAACAAAGAAGAATGTGGGATGATTTGGTTAACCCTGTATTGTGAAAACCTTAGAAACAGAGGAGATGGCTTGAGCTAGCTGCACTGAAATATCAAAGTATTTGAGAGAGGGTATGTCAATAAACATTAGTTAAAACCTGTTTGCAAAAACTGGGTGCAAACAGTCCAAACTTTCCTAATAACAATAGCTTGAACTTAAAAAATACAGAGAGAGATATTTTACTCATGTTATTAAGTATATTCCTATGTGGGTTTAGGTATATAATTAGTTAAAATGAGGCTGATAATAAAAAAAAGATGTGCCAACAAAGTCTCAGGAAAAAAATTAAGAAGTTTTGTTAAAGAAGTTCATGATACATTTCAATTTTTTACAAATAGTTGTATTGCATGTCCTTTCCTATCTAACTCAAGCTTTTTTGTTTTTTTATATGAAGAATAATGTTTGTTTGCTTTACATAAACATCTACCCAACTGACTTATAAACAATGATGTTTGTTTGCTTTACATAAGCTATCTACCCAACTGATGTATGAACAATGATGTTTTTTCTATATAAACTATCTACCCAACTGACCTAGAAGCTCTTGTGGAGCGAATCTTATCACCACCACGCACATTTCCACTCTCCCTTTTTAAGTTTGGAGGCTGGGAATTTGCTGTAACATCTTCAGAGCCAGAAGAATCCCTTGTGATGAAGCGTCTTCTAGTAGAGGATTGGCTATTAGGAACTATTATGTTTTGAGCACAGGAATTAGGTTGAGATTCTGCAATCTTTGATACTGATGATGAAACATCCTCTGTGTTCCTACTGGATTTTTTATCTTCCTTGTTTTGCGAGTTATCAGATTTTTTCTTTGATCGCCGTTGTGAGTACCTCATGTATGAAGGCTCTTCACCAATTGTTATAAGTTCATCTTCAGATGACCTTTCACTGTATCTTTTAGCTATCTGACGACGACGTTCTTCTTTATACATGAGCACACGTTCCTTCTGTACGTTATCCGACACAGATTCATCTGACCTTTTTGCTCCAGCAATACCAATAACCGAAGAAAACCCAACTGGACGTAAGAACCCATCTGAGTCTCGCAGAGATGAGATCCCTGCTCCTATATAATCTCGACCAACTGGTTGGGATCTTAGAGGCCTTCGGGCTGTTTCTGTCATAGCTCTTTTGATTCAAGAAAAAATAAAGTTGAAAATTATATTAATTATAAATTAAGTGGTGCTGCATAAACATGTTTTTCAAACACTGTTGTTTTTGATGTATGAAAACACTGAATATCATTCATGTGCCCAGAATTTACTTTTTATATCATTTTGGTACATTGTCAATAAAATATCCTTTATTTTATCAAAGGACAAAAAATATATGTAATTTTGATACAATATATCGTTTGTTTGTTTGTAATTAAGCACAAAGCTACACAATGGGTTATCTGTGCTCTGCCCACCACGGGTATCAAAACCCAGATTCTAGCGTAGTAAGTCCGCAGACATACCGCTGTGCCACTGGGGGGGGGGGGGGGCATATATCGTTAAAATAACTTCAGTACAACACAAATTAAAAGGTACAACATGTGGAAGTTCACTTGTCATAACTATTCATATAATATAGGTAAAACCACAAGAATCAAGTCCATTGAGACTTGAGTTTGTAGTTTTACAAGTCAAAACTGTGTCAAAGCCAAAACAACATAGTGGCCAGAAGTATAGTACACTCTATCCCATCTACAATTATAAATCTGAAAAAAAAAATTAAAATAGCTCCTACTTTTAGATATAAAAAAAAGAGGCACTCCATGTTATCTGCAGCAAAATTTATAACCTTATTGAACTTGAAGCAGAAGCTAAATGTAATTTTGACTAGTACATTAAGATTCAAAATGAGCATAAAGAAGAGACAGAGAAACAAACAAGGACAGAACCCCTAACTTTCAACGCTCTATTATTGACATAAAATCCTAATCTTAGCCTTGGCTACATTCTTGGTGTCAAACTTACTTCCAACAAGTTGAAAGATATGAACTGATTTTCTCACCTGTTCAAATTCATCAAATAATGTTCACACTATAAATAGATCTTGTTTAGTTTCAAGCACTTATGTAATGAGTTGTTTCCAAATGACTTTAAAACAATATTTTTAAGAAATTCTATGTAAAAATAATTAAACTTCATCCAAAACTTCATTTAAAACTCCTACTAAGTTTTCTTTTTTTTTAGCAATTAAAATTTTTAATTTGCTAACACACACTTTACAGCAGTACCTAAATATCCACAGGGGATACTTCACAAATATAAAGATATAAAAAAATATATTTAACCCTACAATTACCAATGGGGTCAACTGGCTTTTTCAACAAATATTTCTGAACTATTTATGCACAAAATTGCTTATGTATCCATTAATTTGTTGATTACAGGTCCCAAATAAAATATGATGCACAAACACAAATTTAAACAAAAGGTCCATCAATATTGTACTAATTACTAATTGGGTCCCCTATGTATTTTACAGAGAAAACTCAGTTTCACCCAATATTTGTAGTCAGGTTTTTACAATGAGAGTTGTAACAGATAAAGAATTACTAAATATGATGCAAGATATGGATCCTACCTATAGTGAATGATATAAAAAAAAAGTCAGTAATTGGAGAGTTAAACCATTTTAAAATTGTATCAAAAAATATTTATCATCATATTCAAATCTCTAGCATACACAGCTTGTAAGACTGGTACAGGAAACCTTGTCTCAATTCTGTTCCATTACTACTATTGTTACGTGTACAGCACATACGGATGGCACAAGAAATCTCAACTAAAGTCTGTTCTCTTACCACTCTTGTCACATGTACAGCTAGCTCTTAAGACTGGCACAAGAACAACTGAAAGATGTTTCCTTACTACTGTTGTCAGATGTACAGTCATAAGGCTGACACAAGAAACCTTATCTAAGAACTGTTTCTTCCCGTATTATTATTGTCAGACATACAGTTTGTAAGGCTGGAACAAGAAATCACAACTGAAGACAGTTCCCTAACCACTATTGTCAGACATACAGTTCATAAGTCTGGAACAAGAGACCATGTCTCAATTCTGTTCCATTACTACTATTGTTGCATGTACAGCTCATAAGGAAGAAACATCAACTGAAGTCTGTCCCTTACTACTATTGTCAGACATACAGTTCATAAGTCTGGAACATGAGACCGTGTCTCAATTCTGTTCCATTACTACTATTGTTGCATGTACAGCTCATAAGGATGAAACAAGAAACATCAACTAAAGTCTGTCCCTTACTACTATTGTCAGACCATTAAATATTATCACAAGTGAATATCTATCTATCTCAGACAAAATAAATAAATAAAAATGAAAACTGAGAATAGTCATGAAACTTGTGTTTTCAGCATTTAATTCTTGGATATTTTTGAATGTAAAATAATGGATTAAATGGAATGGGTAACTAACAATACAATTTTATATGAGGTCATGAGTCATGTTTCACTCCAGTCTTGCAGGTGACTATGAGACCAACATGAGTGGACTATGAAAATGTGCATTAGATATCATATTCAGCCAGTATCTATTAACAAAATAATAACATTTTTATAATATAACTTAGAAAGATGGGCAATTAAAAATTCAGATTACTAGTTACAATAACTATATTAGGTAGTATATAGATGAATATAAAGATTAATGATGTAGAAAAACAAATCAGCTTATTTCCTAAAAAGAAAATGATTGTTTTTTAACATTAAACAGTTTGTTTAAATTTATAGATCAATGTTGGAAATCTGCAGTGATTCATCATGTAATATTTTAACCCAAGAATGCAAAAAAAAGAAAAAAGTAACCATCCAATTCCTTATAAACTGCCTGTGAGATTCTGAAAACATATTTTTGAAGTCCAGAAGAAGGTCCTCTGCTCTGTATAGATAGTTACACATAGTTAAAGCTTCAGCTATACCTGATATCTCGTAACATTCAACTTCTATCAGTAGCAATATAATTTATATTTTGGACCAATCATGTCTGCATTATTATATATTCAACCAAGCTCTAAGAATTGAAATTAATTATTAATGTTTTTTTATACTCTACACTTTCCAAACTGGCCTCAAACCTTCCTATGTTTCTAGAAAACACGAGATTATTTTACTTGAGATAAAATACAGGATAGCAAAAGAACACAAGAAATAGTCAACCACCTATATATCTTATGTTTTACATAGATCAATCAAATCTCTAAAAAAATAGATTTGCTGACAATATTCAAAGCACATACCTTTCTGTGGTTGATGAAGGAATCAAAGTAGAAGGAAAAGCTAGATTAAAGAATTAAAAATAAAACCATAATTTTCTTCTGTATTAGTATCCAAATTTGTCTCAACTATGCAACTACATGTATAAACAGGCACAAAGAAAAATTCATGACATTTTTATACATTTTTATTTCACAATGAATTTTTAAATATCTACTATGTTATTGATACAGCTAGTAAAATATGAATACTCTTTATAATACTTGTGTAACACCCAAGTACTACCTCTTACACAAGTATGCAGATAGTGTAAACACTCTTTATAGTACTAGTGTAACATCCAAGTACTACCTCTTACAGAACTATGCAGACAGTGTAAATACTTTATAATACTAGTGTAACACCCAGGTACTACCCCTTACACAACTATGCAGACAGTTTAAACACTCTTTATAATACTAGTGTAACACTCAAATACTAAACTGTTACATAACTATGCTGACAGTGCAAATGCTCGTTATAATACTAGTAAAACATCCTAATGTTACCAAATTAAACTATATTGACAAATTGTGAAAGCTGTTTATGATACTAGTGTAACATCCTAATATTACTACATTAAGCATCTATACTGATAAAGTGTAAATGTCCTTTATGATACTAGTGTAACATCCTAATATTACCATATGAAGAATTTATGCAGACACAGTGTGAATTCTCATTATAATACTAGTGTAACATCCTAATATTACCATATGAAGAATTTATGCAGACACAGTGTAAATGCTCTTTATAATATAGTGTAACATCCTAATATTACCATATGAAGAATTATGCACAGTGTGAATGCCCTTTATAATACTAGTGTAACATCCTAATATTACCATATGAAGAATTTATGCAGACAGTGTGAATGCCCTTTATAATACTAGTGTAACATCCTAATATTACCATATGAAGAATTTATGCAGACACAGTGTGAATGCCCTTTATAATACTAGTGTAACATCCTAATATTACCATATGAAGAATTTATGCAGACACAGTGTGAATGCTCATTATAATACTAGTGCATAGGTATTATGTTGAGCTTTTGTCTTCAAACAAGAAACTGATGTTGAATGTAGTCAGGACAAGATAGTTTTTAATCAACAGCTTTAAATTATCATAAAGCTTTAAAGTAGGTGGAACAACTGGCTTTACAACATTCTGGTAAAATTGGTATCTTAATGTTACTGGTTCAACTTGGAATGCACAGTCACCACAGCATAGCAGCTCATGCATGAAGCTGGAATTAAAAACTAATTGTAATAAAAGAGAAAATATTAAACGTGAGTCATTATACTACTGAGAATTAAACAGTTCTGCTTACACACAAAATAAAAAGAACAGCAGATGACTCATGTGACTAGGTACATGTTTAAATTATACCAAAAGAACTTCTTTTGCTTCACCTTCAAAATATGTTCTACTTGCTCACACTACATGTCATATATATTATACAAGTAAGTGCTTCAAGAGAGTTACTTGACATTTGCTGTAAGAAGTCATCAGCATTAGGCCTATTTCATTTGCATTTATCACAGTTTAACAATAGGGTAATAACTTAAAAAAAGAAAAAAAAAGAGAACATTATGTTTATGTATGGCACCAAAACAAATTAAAAGTTTTCCCTGCATAAATAGACATTTTAATATAGCTAGATATAGATAAAACATAAAATCACAATCTAACAAAAAAAAAAGACTCAATCAGAGAAGTTTTATAGCAATATTGTACTCTAAATGGCATTTGATTTTAATTAATGCTTATTTATTCTAAGTAAAGTGAATATAATAGATGTTTGACAAATGGAATAAGAAATTAGCAAGTTCAAAATAAAAATTCACTAGTCAGTGCTATGATGAGCCTCCAAACCTTCTAAATAACAGAATAAACAGGTTCAAATGGAAAATTAATTCATTAATCAAAAAATGGTTTCTATGTAATGTTTACTCATGAAAATGTCTTGCTTATACATAAAATACTGTGATACAATTTTTTAAAAATCTATTTTCAACTACCAACTTGAAACTATTTTATGTATTAATTTATTATCCATTTAACATAACCAAATGAAAGCATAGTACAGACTAATGTTTGACATCCAAGACTGTAAACAACCTCCTATATAGAAAAAGTCCAAACTACAAACCAAAGCCTACACCTAGGCTTAAGGGAATCAGGAGTTCAGCTGTTGTATACGTACATAGAACAGCTAGAATTATTTGATGTGTGTTTGTGTAAAATCACTTCTTAAAAAAATGTGGGAAATTCCTAAGCCTCAGGATAGTCTTCTGAGTTAGTTAATTTTCTATTAGACTGGATATTTTTCTTTTAAATTGTCAATCTATTCCTAAAATATATAGCTTAATGTTATTTTACATGTAGTTATTCCTCTGGAGTCAAAACGATTTACCTTCAGTCTTTGTTGCTCCTGACATATCCTGAAAATCTCCATCATCTAAAATCTTCAACAGTTCATCACCTTCTGAAAGACAAAAAAAAATTATCTCTTACAAAATTTCTGCCAGTTGAAAGAAAAATGTTAATCAACTTGGTGTTTAATTTTCTCAGGTGTTACATTCTAACATGTGCTGTTTTTTAAGAGACTGAAAGAAACTGATATTTTCAGTATGAATTCACATATTTTACCTCTATTACTCCAAAATATTAAATATTAAACATACTTTTCACTGTAACAGATAAAACATCACACAAATAAAATTTCATTTAAAATTGCATAATTATCCAAATTTTAGCATTTCCTAATTTACAAAATTACTAAGACTTTTCAGTCAACATTTGAAAATGCAGCTGTATTGCAATACATCGAAATCTATGAATTCAAGTGAAAATCCACCTGACTGGACCATGTGCTGTATGTCACTCTGTATCAAAAAGATTAAAACTGTAAAGTTCATAGAAGTAAGAGGCTTTCTAAGCACCCAATGGGATCACTTTACACACAAGTAAGTATGCACAGTACAAGTGAGTACTGTTAACATGAAATATACATTTTACAAGAAGAAAAAATATATTACAAAGCTCTTGTAGGTGCAGACTGAAGGTATGTAAATATTAAGATTCAATGACCTTTCTCTGTTGCATGAAGTGAATGAATATGCCCAATTTAGGACCTTACATTTTACCTTTGAATTCTAACTCTACCCTTAAATTACTTCTTTGTTTTCAGAGCATTCACAATCTACATTACATTCTATAGAGTAATATTATATTCTTGCCCATTAAAACCTGACCACAAAGAATTGACCAAAATAAACTGAGTGAAAACACTCATCTTCTATGAAAAATACATAACAGAACCCCCCAGCAGTAATTAATGAAATTAATTGCAATGTTGATGTCATTTTTGCGTGTCTCATGTGTTATTAGGGACACTATAACCAACAAAGTCATGGGGACACACAAACAATTTAGTGCATCAACAATTTAAAAAAATATATTCAAAAAGACATTGGACACAAATGGTAACTATAAATTAAAAAATATTTTTTAGCTTTTGTCTGAACTTTGAAAATAAATTTCTCCTATGGTTTTTGTAACAAAAAATAATAAACTTTTTAACCTATATTTATGCTCTGAAGTAAATCAAGGCATAAATAGGCATAGGATTCTTTCTCAATTACCTTGAACTTTGGAATAACTACAAGGTGATTACAGTCTCTCTATAGTTATCCCAAATAAATGACTAAAAATGTGCAAAGCTTAACATATGGCCAGTACAAGAACAAAGACAGAAACAATACATAAGAACTATTAGATTTATCAGTTTACTCTGACTAGAATTGCAAATAAAGTTGGAATGCAATGAAAAAAGTTGCTATCAAGCTGTAACATATCAAACATAACATTCATTGTTAGTTTCCAAGATCAGTTTAAAATTTCAGAATCCCACCATTTTTTTTAGTTTTTATTGCTGTCATCAGAAAATGGATGTTTAATTGATAGAGGCACAGCTTCTGTGCTTACATCTGAGTAAAGTTGAGTATTATATTAAGATCTTATTAAGAAACATCTCAGGGTTAATGATACTAAAACAAAATTGATATAAAGTTATAAAGAAATACCCAAATGCAGAATAAAACGGTTATAATTAAATGGAAAAAAGTCTCTCTTCCCCCTTATTGTATATTAAAAACCAGCTCACTTTACAAAATCACTCTTATCATAAAAAAAAAGGTAATACCACAAAAAGAAAAAGGGGGAAGAAGGATGGAGAGAAAGAGAAAGGAAAATGACCTCATACTGCAGAAACTGATATTTTACAAAGTAAAAAACTTGCTTAATTGGGGGATAACTAATCTATAATGAATGACAAGTTTTGTTGGGGTTCTATCTCATGTACTTCTGTATTTATGACTAGCTCGTGATCATCATCATCTTGATATCTTATATATATATATTTATTTATTTATTTATATGTATAGTGTATAACTGGTAATCTCTAAATCAGTAACATTTCTCCTTGGATATTAGATAATTATAATGCTCGCATGTGTGCTCATGTTTCTCATTATTTTATCCAAAATCTCAACCTTTCATTGTGAACATAATGGACATTCCTCCTGAGGATCAGATGGTGCATGACCTTCTTATCCAGTAAAGTGGTTTATGAGACTAAAACACACAAAATAATGATTATGTTGGATAATTTTGTCGTTTTTTCAACACATTTTAACAACATCCTCCTCAAGTCCAGATTGCACATAGGTTTTGTGTTTGGAATTTTACTAGGTTCAAAGAGTGATTTACGTGAATAAAAAAATACTAAAAAAAAGGGCGTTATCACGACGTTAAGAATTTCTGAGAAACTACTTAAGTTCTAGTTTTGTGTTCTCACGCACATTTCACCTCTTAATACGATTCTTAATCACATCACTAGCTTATAGAAAGTTGTCCTAAACACACAAAAACTCAACATGAATACCGTTATGATACAGCTATATCACTGCAATATTTCGGAAAAAAATAAATGCCTCCTTATTTAAACCCTTCTTACATAACAGTAATTGTAATAAAACTGTATGAAGTTCGGAACCGGCTGCACATTTTAGAAATAATGAAACCGAAGTAGTGAAAGATACATGTTTATGTGTGTATTTATTAAGCCTGCCCTACATGAACTTAACTTTGTTATAACATGCTTACTGGAAGAAAACAAGAGCCCCCCACTTCCTAAGACTCACCCAGTACACTTCCTATCAAAACACTATTCTACTAAACTAATGCCGTCACTAAATACCCTTTAATGTTCTTTTATATTCCAAAATCAAAGGTGGATTTTCTTTAAATATCATTATTTTCGTAGCCTCACAAACTCATTTTTTAAAATTTAATTTCATAGATTTAATAATCAAATTCGACGCTTGAAAATTTAGTTTTAAAACAATGAAAACAAACAATAATCTTATTACAGATATCACACTGCTTCCAGGGTCATGGACAACGTTCGTCTTCGAACAGTTTAATAACCAACCAATATAACTAAAATTGTGAAACATACACTTTATCTTAGCGAAGGTTTGTATTTTCTGCATAACTCTAATTTTTATATTTTCACCGAAAAAGAAACCGTTTCTTCCTTTTCACCTTAATTAATTAAAGGTTCAAATGCTTCTTAATATGAAGAAATACGTCTGTCTAGTTGTATTTCTTCATATATATATATATATGGATCCTATGAATAAATCCAGGCTCATTATAACTTGTCATCATTTAGAATGAAACGAATAAACTAGTTAAAAAGTTAAATTCAGAAGTTTCATAACTTACCCATATATAAAAGTTAGAATAAAAACACTTCCACCGGCAAGGACATGCAGCTAAAACTCGTGTACTACTCTCTCATTCTTTTCTTTTTGAAAGAAACGGAAATAAGATTGTGATTTCCGTTAGCGAAATCGCGCAAAGATGCCAAGCGGCTGTTCCCAAAAGCCTTAACCATACACATTAAAATGGTTATAAACCAGTTAAAAGTATTTTTTTTCCTCTGTTAAACAACGTGATACCGAGAGATTTCACTTACTGATTGCTTGTCACAGTACTGAAGTTTGATATTACAAAACGGTTTACATATATGACCACGTCCTTCCTATATTTTGAGCATTATTTATTAAGCTGTTTTACAGGTAGCCAACTCCAGCAGTTTACTATTGGTAAGTACGTATCTTAAAACATTAACTGTAAATCTCAATCAAACGCGTAATTAGTTTCATACTAATCCCTACAGTTAGTTTCCACAAAACAGGACCACTAGGTGATTGAAAAACTAGCATTACCAGGAAGCCTTTCCCTTGTACGTCTCTAATTTACGCCTGAATTATAACGATCATTTGCAAGGAAAGGTCATTTGCGGGCGCTTAGAAGACTTCTTCAGTTCTTCAATGACTATGTGATAAGGAATGGAAAGCTGGAAATTGCGACTATTTCCGACTTCCAAACAAGGGACCTCACCAAAGTTCTATTATCACATATCACGATAGGTAATAATACGGGCCTTCTTTCTCTCTAAAAAGAGCGGTGTGATCCCAGCAGTTTCACTAGACTACAAGAAAGTTAACCACCAATTAAAATAAAAAATTGTAAGTACGCACACATTACATATATAATCTATTTACTATACGCCTATGTATAGTCTCTACATCAATCCTGAACAACATAATAAACAAGTAAATCTACACTCCTATCTCTAAACCAGGCTGAAGTTAATGGTTTGTTTCGAATTTCGCGCAAAGCCACACGACGCTATCTGCACTCGAAGTTAATGTCTTCGCCGGCAATGTGGTTAATGTCCAAGTCCAGTCCTTGACCAGTAGAGCTTAAATAGTAACTGATGGAGTGCTTCGAATCCGAGTAACCGACCATTTCAATGTTAATGTGCAATGTGAGGGAGTCTAGAGTTTTTGTTTTTACAATATATGTATGTATATCATGTGTATATAAGTATACACACTACTTAAGCTAACAGTATTATAACACTGTCGATTTTCAGTATTTATTAGGTACGAAAACAACAACATACTTCGTTACATAACTAGTACACACACAAGTACAATAACACACGTACAGAGCATCATTTCACAAAAGGCTTTGGGTGGATGGGGAGTGGAGATGTGAAGGCTGACATTGCGTGGGCATCCAATTCAACTGGGGACCCTACTCTACGATGTATTTTACGTATATGTGTTGATCAGGGCTGACTAGAAATGTCTCGCAGAAACTGCCATTTGCCCTTCACCCTCAAATGACGCCCCTGCACACGTATACTGTTACATAACGTGTTACGTAATTTGTATATGCACACTGAATATAAAACACACGTACGGTGTGTAACGTAATTTGTGTAAGCAGACTATGCACAAAACACATAACTTGAAGATAAACGACAGTCTCAAAGGGCGCAATGCTACTGACAGTTACTTTGTGTGTGTGTATGACTTACCGCCTTAGTCTCCAGGTGAAAACACA